CCCTCTCCCCAGAGGGCTGTACTCACCGAGCCCTTCTGCGCCTCTCTGCCACCAGCCCAGAGGCACAGCTGAGCTCAGTCTGAGCAAGGACTACGGTGCCAAGAGCCAGAGAGGGAAGACAAGAACAGTTTCCTGCTTCTGCCTTTTCTTTGGTACTTCTCTCATCTTGTTGTGTTAGACAGAGGGAGAGGGGAAAAAAAAAAAGACAAGCTTCCTACAACATGGGCTACTGCAAATACAGAAGTCTCGCACTCGACAGATCAGCCACACTCCTGCTGTTTGCCATCCACCAAAAGGTGGGAGAGTCCCAGCAGCGTGAGAATAAGCAATGATGGTGATTGCTGCAGGAGGGCTTGGGAACCAGTCACACTTTAAACCTAAGGTTAACTTTGAACCTGATCTCAAGAATGGGAAGGGGAAGGAAAGGAAAGCTGGTCAAAGAATATGCGGCAGGTATGTGAAAACAAAAAGGACTGCTATGCAAAAAGGAAGAGCTGGTGGCAGAAGACATCAGAGCTGCAGAAGGCTTTCCAGCCTCTTTTATCTTATCTCTGCACCCCGTGATTCCTTTGTGCCTCCTTTTGTTGATATCTTAGCTCTGCCCGTCACAGAAAGGCTATCGTAGGCTATTGATTTATTTGTTCACAGCACAAAATTACAGCCTGGTCTGCCAGATCAAGTTGTGTCAGACGTGTTCCTAACAGCTTGGCCGTGGCAGGGGTGACTTGAACTGTTTGGAAAATGTTAATTGGAAATGAAAGGTTTAAATCAGCACAAAGTAGCAATTGTCATGAATGGTTCTTTTTAAAACCAAACAACCCAAGAGGAGCCATTGTGCCAAGCACAGCTGTACAGTGTCGCTACACCCTGTCAGTATCACTTAATGAAACAAAAAGAGAAATGAAATTGTAGAAATTCCAAGAAAAAAAGCCCCCGAGACAAAACTGGAAGGCATGACTGAGCCTGCAGATTGCAAAGCAGTCGTGGTTTCTGTTAGTCAGTGCAATGAGCGCTGTGAGAGTCTCTGGCGGAAAGGAAATTCTCTGCTTGTGACACAGAGCTAGAGGTTATTACACCCTTTCTGTCCTCCTTACTGTCCCTTTTCCTGCTAATTCTGCTTTACCTTGCAGTATGGTGGCACTTTTGAAACTGCCCCACCACCCACTGAGGCTGGGAGAGTGTCCTCCAGTTTAACAGATTTGGACTGTTAATCTGGTGCGATTTTTGATCATGCAAACAAAGCTGGCTCTGCTGGGGCTGTGGAAGATCTGAAATCTCTAAATCAAATGCAGCTAGGTGTTTAGTGCAGGAAAGGTCTCTTGTGGCTTTGAAATGTGAGGCTGAGACTTCATTTGCAGTTGATAATAGTGTGTATTCAACACCCCCCCTTTCCTCCTGCTCTCATTTATTTCCTTACCTATTTTATGGCATAGCTTAATGAGCTTTGCTGATGTTAATGGTACCAGGCTCTCAACACTCCAGCCTCAAATCTCTGTATATTTCCAGTGAAAAAAGGAAAAGTCTGAGGAGAGACAACATTAACATCCTAAGCATTTCGGCCTCCTTAGTACCAATCAGCTCAACTTTAGAACTAGACAAAGAGCAGGTTGCTCCGTCTGATGACTGTTGATGCATGACAAAATTTTTGCATGTATGGATGTGCTAAGTGAATTCCGAGGGAAAGGCACACCAGCTAGAAGCGCTTGACTGCCATGTGTAATTTTGCAACCTTAATGATGCTTCGACAGTGGTTGAGACACATATTAAGCCAACACCTATTAAACCAGAATTTTGACACTAGATGTACTTTTCAGTATTCACATCAAACTGTTTCATTAACATGATATCAAAGCAATTACGCAAAAAGAATTCTTTAATGGAGAGCTCTTACATGTCTCTGCCTATGCATGCACCAATTCATGCAAATCAAAGAATAGCCTATGAACTTATTTAACTGTTTACATTTGTATATATAAGCACATGCATTTTCCCACGTTTTATATATTTATCTTTATGTTTGCCAATGATTTAAAAATATAACTGTTTTGCAAAGTGAATATTAACATAAATCCACAGATCAGTGTGAAGTGTGAACTGTGGGTGACCACAGGAAATAAAAGCCCTCTCCCTAGACTTTGCAGAGACTTTAATAGTGTCCTCATGGACCTTATATAGCAAAATGAACAGTAGGATGGAGTGGAGACAGATAAAATTGCTGATTCTGCAGGAACAGATTAGAATAAAAACTTGAAATGAAAAGTCTTTGCGGTGGTTTCATGGGATATCATTCCTACATATGCTTTGATTTTTCCTACTTGACTGTAACACAGGAATGCACGTAGGTCTACCCAAAACAGCTGGGGAACAAACTAACAGTAGTAACACTGAGCTCAGCAGAGCTGCAAAACCTACCACAAAGCAGGAAAGATTACTCATGAGGAGCTCTACGCTCTTATGGTTAGTCACTGGATTTAAGCTTGTATAGGTATGTGTCTAGCCCACTTAGCAATGCCCTGTGGGTGCCCTAGGTAATCATTTCAGCGAGAAAAGTAGGACATTTTACCCAAAACTCCCCAGGCTGATATTTGCCTAAACTTTGAGTTGGTTTGCTTCTGAATGGACCATGGTGCAGGCCAGCAGACCTAACTGTCCCTGGCTGTTTAAAAATACTGCTAGATTCCTACAGACCAGTTTATTAAATGTGTTTAGGCATTGAAGAATAACTTTAAGTAATGTCAATTAATGTGTCAGGAAACATATTCATATAGATGAGAAACTGAATTAAAGACTTTCTACTCATCTCAGGCACTGTGACAATAGCACATTGCTCACAAGGGTCTACAGTATCTGATAGTGAGAATGCACGTTAAAGCAGTGTAGAAACTTTTACGTTTTAACAGTCTTTGTTATGTCTTTTTTTAGTTCATATAACAAGTTTAGGACAACTCACTTCAGTGGTCACAGTATTCTCATCATATATGATGCCCATCTCATCATATGTAAAAGCCCATGGGCTAGTGAAGACACTGCATTTCATTTATATGTTCAATGATATAATTTTATTGATTGAATATCAATTATAAGCAAAGAAGGATACCTTTTGCAGATATGCCAATTTTAATATTTAGAATTTTGGTTTTCCATCTTAATTCATTGCACAGCATTTTATTTCTTGTATGCATATAGATTTTGTATATACATAAATATATGTATGAACCTACACATGTTTCTAGCAATGTTGCTATCTAAAATGTTCAAAGGATTCAACTCACATGACTTTTGACATTTGAATTTTAGATATCCAAGCACAACTTGGGCAATTCTAATATAGCTAATGAAGAGAACATGGTGTATTTACAGAATGATTATATTTTACCTTTCTATATAAAATTAATCTAGGAGATGAATTATCCTGTAGAAATGCCTGTGACTCTAAAAGATGTTAGTTTTGACTGAAACACCTAAATGGTAGATATGAAAGTTGGAATCACTAAACCTTATATAAATTACTACCCCCCCCCCAAAAAAGAAAAAAGTGCATTTCCAGGATTTGCATTCATCTGCTTTGTTAGACTATTCATTCAATATGATTATTATGATTATTCACTTCTTGAATGTCTGAAGACATTTTCTTAGTCAGTCTGCAACTTCTGACTAAGAAATATGAGTAAAGTCAAAAGCAAACATAATATTATGTACAGGAAGAATTAAATGGTGGTGTCCTACAATATTTCAAGAGAGGTGCAAAGGTGATGTAAGTTTCTCTCATCTGAATTAAAATTTTGGCCCCCCCTATTGTCATAAAGACTTTTATTAGATATGAAGAAAAGAAAAAAGTGACAGAAGAACTACCCAAAGTATGGCATGCTGCTCAGCCTGTTACCTCATAATCACCAGTATTCAGTGTTGCAGACAGCAGTACATTAAAAAAACTGAACTGATTAACAAATAACTTTATTTCTGGGTGACTATCACAGAAATAATCAATCAATAACTTAAAACTCTATTATTGTATGAATTTATGATTTTTTATTAGAATGTTGCTGAAAAGGGAACTATGTAGTGAATTCCTATTCTGTTGTTAAAAAATAAAATAATCCAGCAGTCATGTGATTAAGAAACCTAGCCTTTGAACTAATTGGAAGTATAGATGAATCTCATCAATCATTTAAAAATTACTGAATTCAACCTCCATAATTGCAAAGAAAATGCAAAAAGTACAATTTCTAAAGAGTTAAAAATAACTGGGTAAACTATTATAGTCTAAAATATAAATTGTTTAAAAAGAATAATTTTTAGGGCTGATCTAGGAACTTTTGTACCCGAAACCATGCATTTTGTATGGTTTATATTGTCAGTTCTGTATGCTTGGTTAGCGTGTGAAACTTCCTACACTTGCTTTGAAATATTTGTTTGGGTGGTAAGAGTTACTTATTCAGGAGACAGAAAGCTGTTACATGACTTAAATGATCTATCCACTCAGGCAAGTAATTCAGCATGTAAGGATCCTGATTAGTCCCATTAAAGCCAATCACAGAAATCCCTCTAACCTAGTGGTCCAGGATCACACCACACAGCAGCAGTTGTTGAGGTGTACGTACTGGCCGAAGTAGCTGTGCATTATCACAAGCAAATCACAAGCAAACTTGGAAAAAACTCCCAGCCTTTCCTGATATTCATTTAAGGACAGTAGTCAGCAGAAAGCGGTCAAAATCACTCTGGAAGTTATAAACTACTACAGGGAATTAACTTTGTCCTGCTTCATTCCTAAAAACAAAAGATGTACATTGCAGTCCTGTAAAATATTGAGACGTACAATATTTTCTTTAAGAAATAGTTTTTCTAGGTAATATGTAAGCATTATATTGTTGTAACGTGTCTGCAAGAGAATTGGAATTGTCTTTCATTCTCCTATACCTTTCCCCTCTCTTCCCTCTCTCTTCCTCTCCCTCTTCTACTCTGTTTTACTTCTCTTCCTGCTCTCTGGTTTACCCTTTTAGCAATACAAGATCAAGACAAGCTACAAGGCATTTGCAGCAATCCCTACAAACACATTACTTATGGAACAGAAGGTTAGTGTCTGCTCAAACACATGGGAATTGCATTGTATATTTGAGACCATTCAACTTTACTTACATATTCTGACATTTCTGTGGGGAATATTGCAGAATATAAACTCTGGGAACTAACTGCTCAGGATTATAATTCCAACCATTTTTCAGGGTCAACCACTTTCCACAGAAGATCAAAGCCTTCACTAATACGAATTTCTGCAAATAAATTTACTGTAAAAAAAAAATCTGTCCTAAATAAATTGCCATTTATGGCAATATTTCGAAGTCTGTTTTGTTATTGGGAGGTGTCTGGAGCACAGCTACCAATCAGTAGGTCTTGGTCAGTTAATGATTATTCAATGGTTATGCTTATACTAGTAAATTTAACAACCCAAGCCATGCAAATTTGACCAGCTGTATTGTTAAACTGTGAGAAAAGTCCTGGCCATTGCACTGGCCTCTGTTAACTACCATTCTCCCAAACAGCTTCCCTGAGCACTTCAACAGTTAGCATGGGCCAGGGGTCCAGTCCCAGCACTTAGTTTGGGGAAACAATCCTTTTCTGTAGGGTAGGATGACAGATCCAAAGAAGAATCTTTAGTACATTTATTTACTACCAAAGACACAGACGACAAAAGCTGGGTTGTATAGTTCCTACTTAGATAATGCAATTTTGGAAGTCAATTAAAAACTTAAATTTTGCATGAAGGGTTCAAAGTACCAGCCAATGTCTTTTTTAAAAAAGATTGCCCCAAATCAGTTTTGCAGCAAATAATAAACCACTAACTTTAACAAAAATTGTCTATAATGAGCAATGAGCAATGAGCTAAGTTTCTTATATGTTTAAAGACACGCTTCATTACTCCGACATCCAGTTTACAGCTTTATCAAAAAAACCTTTCTGTTCAGGACCTATTTCAGGAATTTATCCTCTGATTCATTTGTGGAAGATTAAGCATTCGTAACTACACATTTAAATACATATTCACATACACAGCTTAGCTGATTTCTCTAGAATTTTACAGAGCCTAAAGACATTGGTAAAAATTAACTGTGTAAAAAATCTGAAGGTGATAATTTTCTCCTTGAAAATTACTGATTTTGATCTAGTAGTTATCAGTTAACTGCTATAAATATCTTTTTTTTTTTAAAAAAAAAGAGGGACATTCCTTTCTTTTCCAATGTTCTTTTAATCTTGATTTTTTTTTTTTTATTATTTGCATAAAACCTGATCCTTCTTTTACTTAAATCTTGAATGCACTAATGAAGGTTATGAGCCAGGTGGGTGACTTTGAGCAGGATATTCACTCTAAAAGCACACTCCTGATGTGAACTAGTGGGTTAATGTCAGCCATCTGATTGTACTTTTTCAGAAGAAAGGGGATTCCTTTTGATGGACTTGCTGATGTTCTCCAGGGCATTGACTCACAACCTGTGTGTTACTTCTCCCCAATACATAAAACTGAATGGTACGGTCTAATGCCAGTATCTGTAGAAAAAGTAATGACTCAAAAGATGTCTGTGTTTAGATAGACTTTTGGTTATCTACCACTTTATTGAAAATACTAGCTTTGGTGTATCCTTCAGTAGTGAAAGCACAGTGACGTAAAACTAAGACAAAACCAATTTTCTGCTACAGGATTTGCCTTCAGGAAAGGGTCTTGACTAATTTACTTTGTAAACTGTATGTTTCAGCATGGCCTGACTACATGGTTTCTCTCATCTTGGGAATTATGGATAATAATCTATTGATGTATACCAGCAGCTAATTATAGTGCTCCTTAGCCAGTGTTGTTGTGTTAGCTGACATGCATTTAGAGTATGGCTCTTAAAAGAAATATGAAGGAATCACATGGCACAGACAAGCCCCATTGTACCAAGACCTAATACACAAGTATTCTCAAAAATACTGGAGAGGGAACCACGAAGGAACTCATGCTCCGTTGTAGTTCAATGACAGCAACTATGTTGCTCCCATTTTATGCAATGCGCTTTATGCACTGGGTTAAAAAATGAGAGATTCAGGACAATAAGGTTTTAACTACATAAGTGATGTTTTATTAACATTAAAACAATGGTTATGTGGAGAAGAAGTTTTCTGAGTAGCTTTTTTTTTAGCAAGGGTGGAAGGCACGCAATATCTGCAAGGCACAGATATTACTGAGCTGAATGCATAATTAGGAATACATCATCTGCCTAAAGTTCTAAAAAAGTGTTTTGCTATGCAACTGAACTGGAAAAGCACATTCTCAGGAGTCAAATTTTTCCACTGTGTGAATAATAATTAAATTACTTAATTTGAGTGATCATGAGAAATAAGGTTAGTCTGAACTGTGTTGTGGGTGATCCTAGTGACAATTCATATGCAGTATTAATTAGATTCTGTGACAAAAAACTGCCATTGATATCTCATGGAAGGTATAATGCTTTGTCTGACTCAAAATCATCTCCTTGTGTCCAACTTTCTCAAGTAAATTTTTTCTTTTACATGTGTGTAGATGCTTTAATTTCATCCAGCTTTTTTCAACTTATTCTTATGAATCCATTAGGCTAGCATCATCTTAAGAGTTTTTCTAGAACATGTTCTTCTTATCCTCCAGTACTCTTGCTCAAAACAAGTTGTTCAAATCTGTTCATTAGCAGAGAAGAAAAGGCTTGTTGACTATATATGTGTATACTTTGGCAACCCCAGAAGTGGCTTAATCTCATAAAATCTTGTAACTGGCATGTTTTCCAGCTGTTTGAGTTTGTATGAATCTGATGTTCCTCTGTCATGGTTTAGCCCCAGCCGGCAACTAAGCCCCACGCAACCACTCGCTCACTCCCCCACGGTGGGACAGGGGAGAGAATCAGAAGAGTAAAAGTGAGGAAATTCATGGGTTGAGATAAAGACAGTTTAATAAGTAAAGCAAAAGCCGCGCACACAAGCAAAGCAAAACAAGGAATCCATTCACCACTCCCCATGGGCAGGCAGGGGTTCAGCCATCTCCAGGGAAGCAGGGCTGCGTCACGCATAATGGTTACTTGGGAAGACAGACGCCATAACTCCGAACGTCCCCCCACCCCTTCCTTCTTCTTCGTCTCAGGTTTATATACTGAGCATGACGTGATATGGTAGGGAATATCCCTTTGGCCAGCCTGGGTCAGCTGTCCCGGCTGTGTCCCCTCCCAGCTTCCCCTGCACCCCCCGCCTGCTCACTGGCAGGCCAGCACGAGAAGCTGGAGTGTCCTTGACTACTTAACAACAACCCAAAACATCAGCACCTTATCAACACTTTCTCATCCCAAATCCAAAATACAGCCTCACAGTAGCTTCTGTGAAGAAAATTAACTCTATCCTGGCTGAAACCAGGACATCCTCACATCACCTGTGCTCTGCTCAGGAAAAGCCCAGTCCAGCATATGTCTTGGAAGATTGGGCTGTAACTTCCTTCACAGCTGGAAGAGCAAGAAGTTGTTTTTAAGGGACTTACACTCAGCATGGTCAGGCTCTGTCAGGGAGCAGCAAGAACGGGCTACTCCACAAGGAAGGTGAACTTGAGAGATGGGCTGACAGCAAGACTGGCAAGACAGTGTCCTCACCAGAAAGGGCACAGCTCCACAATGCCTGGGCAAGGAGAGCAGGGATGGTGATAATGAAATGGTGGTAACCATGGTCAGTCAGCAGTGCCATCACAGCCACAGAGATTCATGGTGATGAGCCAGGTCCACAGACTGTGATAATAAACTCTTCAGCCCAGCTGATGATAGGATCCACTGGGTAGAAAAGGAAGCTGGAAAAGTTTAATGTAGGCATAAGGAAAACGTTTAACAGAAAGAATTAATTAACCATTAGAAAAAAAAAATCTGGAGACTGAAATGGGCTCTTTATCACAGAAATTGAAAAATCAAGACAGGGTCTTTTTCTGGCACTTCATACAGTAATTCCAGGCAGTTCTGTGCTTTAAAGAAAAGGTCAGACTAGGTGATCGCTGTGGCTCCTTCTGGCCTTACTAACATTGAGTCAGTGAGTCACCCCTCCACTGACACTCACTGTTGCATAGCTTCTTCAGTTATATAGATGTGATCACAGTCTAATTCAAAATTCCATTCCTAATCAGATAGTATTTAAAAAGTAATGCGTCTATTATTTAGAGATTGTATCTATCAAATATCTATAAAAATATCTTTCAGTCAAAATATATAGTGATGAAGAGTTCATTTCAGGGAGCTACAGAATAATTCGTAACCGTAGAGAGTCTCTTAGACCAGATCCTACTTCATCTTCAGAATTATGTCAAATTTGAGATGTAGTCCAAAAACTTTTGGATGCCTTGGAATTGCAAACCAAAAAAGGTTTCTCTTAACAACTAGTGGTCTTTAGTCTACAGTAAGGTCCATGCAGAGGAGCTTGGGTTTGCTGTGTTTGTCCAGATACACACCACCATGCTGATCGGGGTGAGCTTCCCTTATCTGGGCATCCTTTTGATGGGAAGGAAACCTGGGCATACAGACTTAGTGGGGAGAGGCACTGCAAATGTTCTGCTCAGACTTCTCGTGGTCTGAACTGTGGTGAAACCGGGATGATGAGGTGTGCCATGAAGCACATCTACTTCACAGTCGAGGCTTGGCCCACACTTAGCAAGTCTTCTGAAAACTACTAGGTGTAACTGGCTATGGATGGAAGAGGTGCAAATGAAAACACTGTTGACTTACCTGGCTTGTATTTATCAACTAATTACAAGTAGAGAACTATAAATTTCAAATACATGTAGGAAAATATTTTCCGTCTTAAAGAATACATATTTTAGGTTATTGATTTTGTCTGTTTATGGTTGTTCTTCACGTTTTTTCTCGTCACAGTGCAATTTGACTGACTTCAAGAGAGTCTAAAGCTGTCTTTCCATATGATGTTACACTTCTAGGAAAACTCCACAGACATAGTAATTGCATCCCATCACAGCAGACTGCCAGCAGTGCAGTATATTCCCCTTGTGGAGGAAAAAAAGAAAAAAGAAAAAAACCTTACATTTTCATCCTCATGCAGAAGAAAAAAAGAGGGTGGGGTTTTTTTTCTTCATGAAAAGAAAGAAATGCAACAGAGGAAATATGGCAGTGATCTGCTAGATTGGAGACCCAGCTTTAAATTCTTGCTTTGAGGGATCTCTTACCTACTGTATTATCAAACATCTATTGGTAAAGGGACTGATCATAGCAAATGCAGATTAAAGTTGCTCGTTGAAATCATACAGCAGGAACTTGGAAGCCAAATTTTCCCACTGTCAGATGGTAGACCTAACTTCTGGATAATTAGCTATTATCAAGCATGTCAGCACCTTTCTGGACCTGGAAAGTGTTTCTGACAACATCTTGTTGAGAATATTTTGATAAAAAAAGATTTTAGTTTTCTCCAAGTACTTCTGGTGTGCACTTACTAGGTGAATTACTTGCTTCCATATTACGTGTTCATGTCAAAATGCTTCTCAAGACTAGAGATAACTACCTACTGGTAAGAATGAAAGGAATTAATTTGTACAGTCATAGAACGATAAAGGACCTAGTTTGTCTGTAATTATAACCAAGAGTGCCAGTGTAGGAGCAGACTATGAGCTCCTTCTTCCTTTCAAAGGCCTTTGTAGCTTTTAGTATTAATTATTTTATAAGAGGAAAAGTAACCAGGTCTTTTCAGTGTGATCTCCCAGAATCTTCAACGTATAAATTAAAGGAACTCATGGTATGTGAAGTTCCATTATACAGAATGATTTTTTGGCATGTGCTGAGGGCTTAGCAAAAGTTATTGATGGGAGAAATATGCAAGAGAAATAAAGATGAGGAAACTTCTTGGCTTTTGTTCAGCCCAGGGTTTTCACAATACGGTAAGAAGGAAGCTGTGTCAGATCCAGGTTATGATATTCATTTTTTCTCCTACTATTGATGTGGTTCATTGGTGGATGAAACAATGTTCTGTATTTCCTGTATGTTGCCAAAAGCTTTCATTCTTCTAACAAAATATTTGAGATCCTGTTCGGATCATTTACCAGTATCCTTTCAGCTCTGATACGGCTTTAACAATCAAATAGCTTGGGGGGAAGAGGAGGAAAGGGTTGTAGTCATTGTTGACATCAACAGCATATATGTAGCACACTCCCAAAGTTGCCCTTTGCAAGGAAAAAATCAGTGGTTCAACAAATGGTTATTTCACCCGAACATTTAAGTTCTGTCAGAAATACATTTTAATTCTCTAAATTGCAGTCGTCTTTTAAATTGTGGTCCCACTATTGTTTTTCATATATATTCAAAAAATTTGAACGCCTAAATAAGAATGTTCCACTTTTAATATTGTTAGACCATCAGCACAGGAAGTGAAGCTTGAATATTGTTGATAGCACTAATCAACAGTACTGTAGATAGCACTAACGCTTTAAATTAATCATAACGTTATTGTGTAACTCCAGTAATGAGTCAGAAATGCTAGTGGTACTTTTTTAATCTCACATTTTTCTCTATGCAAAAATGTAAAAAAACTCCTAATTGCTGGAAAAAAAAGATTGAGTTGTATGTTGAAAAGCTAACAAGAGATTGAATGGAACTTTTTTTATTTGTAGGGGTGATAAGGATGCCTAAAATCTAGTTTTCTCATTTTCTTCTCTTTTATTGGAGGACTTGGGCTATTCAAATAGAAAAAAGAAAAAAAAAAAAGAGATATAACAGTGAGAGAAATTAGATGGATCACTTTGAAGATTAAAATTTTCCTTCCCTAAAAGTTTAAAAAGGAAGAAGAACACTGCAGCCTTCTCTAGCATGGCTCCTGCATGATGACTGTATCTCAGGGGGATGGTGGAGTGCATAGACCTCGGTGTTGCTCATACCTGAGTTCTTTAGTCAGTGAAGGCTCGAAAATGCAAAGATATTTAGATACCTAATTTCTACTGAAACTAATGGGTGTTTGGTATTTCAGAGTCTTGGTTCTGAAAAGAGCTTGTGTATGTGGCAGTAGTTCCTCTAGAAAGATTCCTCAGTATCTTCTGGGTAGTTGTTTCTTACCCTTGATTGCGTTCACCCTCTCCTACAGCTCTGGTGAATTGAAGATGAAACAGAAACAAGTATTTTTTCTTAACAATTACTTTACTATGTTCATTACCTTACTGGTTTTTTGGGGGTTTTGAGAAGCTTAGCAAATTCTCCATTCTGAACCCATGACTGATTAGAATTTCTTGGTTTTCCTAACTCACATTCATACTTGTCGTCTCTCCACAAGAGGATGCTTTGGCAATCCTGGCCTTAGTACAGGGGAAGGAATGACTCTTCTACTTCATTTTATCACTTCATTTTATGTTTGTCAGGAAGATGTAATCTCAACTGAAGCTGAACCAGGGACACGGTACTCAGGTGTAGCACTTTAGCTACAGGTGTAGCTCTTTAGCTGAGCCCTCCTCTTCTGCAAGACTGTTGATGTGGGAATTTACCTGGGTAACAGTGATGAGACAGCAGAAATGAGAAAGACTATTTATAGTTATTTATGTCTATGGGGCATCTCACATGCATGAAAAAGCGTTTTACTGGAATGCTCTTTTTTTCTCTTGCTATAATTTATTTTTTTCAAATAACTTGCAAAATGAAACTTCAGCAAATGTAATGTGTTAAAAAAAAAAATCCACAAACCCTGCAGGTCCCTCCCCTGTAGTCCAGCTTCACACATCAGGAGGCTTCCAGAGTAATTTTTGGTCTCAGCAGAGAGTCTATTTGGAAATTGCTTCAAAGCAAAAATGGGTGATGGCAGTGAGAATATGCCTTGTAGATTCTGGATGAAGATGAAAAGGGAACTGAGCACTGGAGTTCGGCTTTTGAGGTGTTTCACGAGTTTCTTGATAAAGCAGAGCGATCAGCAAACTGATTCCCACCCTTCTCAAACCTGCTCCAAGCACAGGCGTAGGAAAGCGGGAGGTATTCAAGCACAAGAAGCATATGTTTTGTTTTGGAGAGACTGCACACCTGCCTAGTGTGATAGCACATATGTATAGCACATATTTCGCTTTATACGTCTCTGATTTCAGGCTGAAATCCAAAACCATCGAGCACTGTTTTTGTTGCAATGTGGAATCACCATCCTCTTTAAACAGGAGGCACTTCTTAGAGAAAATGTCTACTGGAGGAAAAGAAAGGGTCTCCTGTGTGCTTGGATCTCTGCCTTGTCCACTTGCTTGAGAGCCAGGGACTTTCCGCCGATGGTGCGCGGCAGGCAGCCCCCGGGCACCCCTGCGGCACGTGGCGCCCATTCACCACGCTGCATTTACATTACATGTAAAAGACAATTTAAACTGGTAGTTTCTGATCTCTAAAAGTAGAGGCAATTCACCTGGCTTGAATACTCTCTTTCCCTCTCTGCAAAGCCCTCTCTAATTCAGAATCAGAAGTTGGCAACCTGAACAACCTTACTAGGCCTGTAATTTCTTCTTTTTCCGTCTTTCCATGGTGAAACAGAAAGTGCCACCTTTGGAAACATAGTATTGCAAAATGTCTATGTTTGCTTCGTTTTTAAAATTTTGAACTCAGTATCACACCAAAATCTTTTGAATTGCAGGCATTAGAAGAGCCAACCAAGACCGCTAGCGTGACTGAAGGCACTGCTTTGGACACCCATTCAGAGGTAGTCCTTTGAATACATCTCTTTCAAATCTCTATTTGAAAACAAAAAAACCAAAGGTTAACTGAGTGTTCGATCCCCCCTTTTCAGATGTGCTCCCCTGCCCAGCTCAGACAACAAACAGAAGAGCTGTGTGCTGTCATTGATCAAGTCCTGCAGGACCCGTTGACTATGGTAACCCATCAGTGTGTGGGACTGACTTTTTTGCTTCCTGTCCTTTTGCTTCTTGTCATTAATAAGTCTGTTCTCTGTTGAAAATTTTCTAGCGCCGATGCGAGTCTTCTCCAAGTTTTCTACAGATGAGTACGGAGTCAGATGTTGGCAAGGTAGGTGAACAAGCCCACACATACACCAAGGCCTGGAAATAGAGGAAAGGGATTTTTGGCAGAGGAACACATAAAAAATGCATTCAAAATATCCTGCACAATGTCTGGTCCACCATGCAAAAACAGTGCACAGAACCAGCATTCCTGAGTGACTATATTCAATATACACTTCAAATTTTATTTTCATTTTTGAAATTACTTCTGTCAACTGTACACAGTGGCGGATCGGGCTTCAGGCAGCTGAAAGACAGAAGAAACATGATAGTAGCTGAAGCAGCAGGTTGAGACTGTTATTGAGAGAATGTTTTCCAATGCCTGCACTGAATCTGAAGTGGTTAAAATGCTGCTACTAAGTTAAGCTATAGCATCCAAAACCTAGTTCCTTGGGCAATTGAGAATTGAGCCTTGACCAAATGGAAGGCATCTGTTAACAGTCACGAAACCAAAAAAAGGGCACAAAAGGTGAGTTTAACGGGATACAGCATAGGGACCAAGCCAAAGGTTGTGAGGACCTCACAATGAGAGAGCAAAGTGCTTCAACTGAAGGTAGAAGAGAGTTATAGACAGGAAGGAAAAAAGAGTGTATGTTATAATAAATAAATGCCTCAGAAATAACATGGATTAGTCAGATGAAAGCAAGTTCTTGCAAATGAGAACATGGAAAGCTGCCATTTCAGGTTATTTTGTGAGCAAATATAACTTAAATTTCACGGGGCTATTTCACCACACCTATGGCTATCTATTACTAAGCATTTTGTTATGAGAGTTCTCAGAGATAATTTACATGCCATCATCAATAGAGTGGGATCAATGGTTTAGGGCAGTAAAAATGAAGTAGTATTTTCTGCAATAAACATACCAAGCAAAGCTTTAATATAACTTATTCTCATGTATTGCATGAATCTTCCTGGAAAACTGAAGTTTTCTTGAATTTGAGCAATTAATAACTTGTCACAATGGTGAAAATCTCTTTGAGTTACTCCTCAGTAACTCTTTGCTCTTAATATATTTATTTTGTACAAGGTGTCAACAACACTGCAGAGAGCAGCTGGACGTGAAACCAGATATGTAAGTATTTTCATAATTACACTACATTTTGCATGCAGAAGTGTGTAATTTTCCTGCTCTTGCTACAATATTGGGTGAGTCTGTGCAGGCATCTCCTCATGACATGAGTAACAGAGAAGTGAGTATGTTAGAGCTCTAGCAACTGAGACTTGAGATATCTTCCCACTGCTGTAAATCCATCATGGCGAGAATCTCTTCAGTGCGGTGTCTATTGATAATTTTACCTGTGTGAATATGATGTTAAAATTAATTTCTTCACACACTTCGTTTTTGTTTGGTTCAAGCATGGGGTTATTTGGCAAACAGACTGTTAGGGGTGCTGAAGGGTACATTTGTTTGGACTCAGCCTGCACTGCAGGGGACTCGCTTTGGAAGTCCAATATTTCTTGCCTATCCATCAGAATTTGGGGTTGACCCAAATGCTTCTTTACAAGGTATAGAGCTGCTGAAAACCCATGGTTTATCCTTAGATGAATAGAAGCTGTTTTGACACGTATACACGCATTCCAATGTATAAAGAATAACTCTATATTGAGTCATCTGTTCAATTATTGAAACATTAAACCAAATTAACATTTTAATTCTCACTAGCATACAGTTACTGCAGGTTCCATATTTTACTCTACACTCATCATGTGGTGAGAAATCTCTGTTTACATTCAGCATTTATATTGAACCCCAAATCAAAGCACTGTTGGCAAAGCAATAGGGGCCTTTCAGTTTTATACCAGCACAATGCTTGACTGATCAATTCAGTTTTGCTTCTGGAATGTGGGGGTATGCGTATTTTATTGCATACTGTGATTATTACTTGACAGATTGTGCTGGCTCATACTAATTAGAAAGGATATTGGAAGAGAGCTTTTTAATGAAATAAAAGAGAGTGTTTCAGAGGTAGTCTGTGAGAAAGAGTATATTTAATACTACTCCAGGGCAGATCTCCAGCTCTCAAAACTGTGGCTGACATATACCATAAATTCAGGCATCCAACTTACATGGCTAACGATACACTTAGATTTTCTTTGCTGGAATAAAAAAATGACTCTTTCTTCCCAGTAAAGGGAAGATAACTATAGTATATTTTTAAATATATATAAAAATTATACACATTTATTTACATTTATTTTTTATTTATGTGTATATAGTATACACGTATCTATATGTATTGTATATATACTATATACCTATATATAGGTATATATGTATTTTTATATATAGGTATATGAACTATATACCCCAATAAAATATTATTTATGAACACACAGACATATAAATGTGTAAGTATGCACACATGATAATATTACTCATTACTTCAACAGTTTATATGGTGTAGTAGACTATACAAATATATTGAAATAACCTGCCATTTAACAATTGAAATGACATAGATTTGCTTTGGCCACAATTACTTCTTGTCTTCCCATGCACTTCAGAAACTTAATAAGGATATAAATGACTCTATGAATAGCAAGGGAGTGTATAAAAAGTATGGAAAAATGTCTGACTTCAGTGAAACTACAAAAGTTTGTTCCAGCTGACAGGTAAATACAACAGTTGACACCAACTTTTGAAAATTTGTGGTCTTTGATATGATACCATTCACCATTTTATAATAGTGCATCTGTTGACACCAAGCTAAGTGGTGTGGTTGACACACCTGAGGGACAGGATGCCGTCCAGAGGGACCTGGGCAAACTTGAGGAATGGGCCCGTGTGAACCTCAGGAGGTTCAACAAGGCCAAGTACAGGGTCCTGCAGCTGGGTCAGGGCAATCCCCAGTATCAATCCAGGCTGGGGGATGAAGGGATTGAGAGCAGCCTGGTTGAGAAGGACTTGGGGCTACTGGTGGATGAAAAGCTGGACATGAGCCGGCAATGTGTGCTCGCAGCCCAGAAGGCCAACCATATCCTGGGCTGCATCCAAAGCAGCATGGCCAGCAGGGCGAGGGAGGGGATTCTGCCCCTCTACTGAGCTCTGCAAGGTCTTTGTCACACGGGATCAAAGTAAGAGCATGTTCTTCGCTTTCCAAGTGTGCTGGAATTGCTTTTCTGCTTGAAACGGTGAGAGGAACATATTGTTCAGTTGATAAAAATCCACTGTAGCGGTTCTTCTGCAGAGGGTACAGGCCATAAAGGCACTGCCTTGTCTTCTGCTACAGCTGTAACATGTAACCATTTTATCTACTACTTCTTTTAACACCACCCTGAAGAATATTCACATTTTAGAGTCTCAAGGCCTCTAAATCACACCTACATGAAGGAAGGGCATGTTATCTGTACAGAAGTGCTGTATTATCCAGTGGCACTCCTACAGAGCTTGAAGGAGTTGACTGGAGGGAATAGTGCATCAGAAATTCTGAATCTTACCACTGTGTGGACGAATAAGCATGTGGCACACTATTATTTTACATATGCACACACTTTCCATTTCACATTTCATTCACGTTTTATGTGAATTTTACATTCACATTTACCCTTGATCTGGAAAACAGGGCTTCTGCTGTTCAATGTATGCTCAGAAAAAAGAGTAATGCTTGAGTAGGATTGTTCTGGTTTTCATAATGTAAAGTCAGAAGGATGAGAAGGTTGAACTGAGCTCCCAATACAGTCGACGGTGTTAATAACACTGATGCTGCAGATCAACAGACAATGTCAGGGTCAGAAATATCAGGATTTGTGTTTTGAGGTTAGATAGAGGTGAAAAGTGAAATTTTGTTGCACTTGGAAAGAGCATCCCTAAAATTTTAACAGGCATTCCTATTTTATTATACTTAGAAATAAACTGGGAAGTGCAATATTTTAACTTGCCTTATAAACTGCATGTCACTGCATCAGTGGTAAAAGCTTCTGTACCTAAGCATACTGCTGTCCATGGATTTTTCTTCTGTAATTGCTATAAACACTATTATGTTTTATGTAATACTCTATATATTTACCATTTTTGCAGGCCAACCTTTACAAATCAGCACCTATGGTAACAGAGAGTCAGCTGGTATGTATTGCACAGCTGTGATATGCTGTTTTTCAAAATTTACACAAACACAAAAGTAATTACTATTTACTTTCTTAGTCCTGTGAAAGAAGCTGCAGTCAATATCCTACAAAGCTGCATTGCTTCTACAGAGCTGCATTGCTTTCTTCTGCACTGAATACACGCCTGTTTTAAGTAACTGTAAATCCTGACACTACTTGTAAACCCATGGACCAAGTGACTTGTAAACCCATGGACCAAGTGACCCCAAGAGGGTCTTGCTGAATCTTGAGGTGTGCGACAACTATAGAGTCCACTGCTGGTTCTTGGACTCTTCTAATATTCCACTTCTACAATTTTGTTCATATGCAACAACTTTCTGGCATCTGTTTTCTTCTTACATGCTTGTTTAAACCAAAGCTGGCTTAACTAGTGAAAAGCAAGGGTAAAATCAAATAAAGAAAGGGAGATTATGCATCAGGTGTTCATTTTAGCTCTGATCACAATTTCGTCTTGTTGGAGACAAACTTTCTAAAGAAAGGTCAGAAGAGAGGTCATGGAGTCTGTCCAAGTGACAGAGATCATTAATGAATGCTTAGGGAAAAAATGAGATGTAGATGAGAATTTTTTCCCATTGTATATTTCAGGTAATAGAATTTTAGGGACTTCCTGAATCAATTTCTGCTGTTTAATAAACCTTGACCACTTCTTCTTTCATGAGTTTTTCCAGTTACTTTTTGAATCTTGTTATACTTTAGTCTCTACAACATTCTGTAGCAATAAGGTTTGCTTTTTAATTATGCATTATGCGAAATAGTACCTTATTTCTTTGCTTTAATCCCAATACTTGATCTGAGTTCTTGTACTGAAACAGCAAATAATTGTTCTTTCTTCACTTTCTAAATAATATTAATGATTTTCTAAGTATTAACCATAATACTCTATCAGTCACTTCTTTTTCATACATAAAAGTCAAAATTGTTTAGTCAGTCTTTGAGAAGTATGGATACTGGCCCATACCTTTCATGATCCTTGTTGCCCTTTTCTATATCTTTTTCAGGTTTTTGGTTTTGAGATTGGGAGGCTAAAAGCATAGACTGCTCTTGTCTAGCTCTGAACACAGTGCTTCCTATTTACATGATGACATGATAAGGTTCTTTACTGTTGTTCCTATTCCTTCCTTAACAATTCCTAGTAATTTATTTAGTTCATCTTATTTGTACTGAGCAGTAAGCCAGTGTTTGCATAGAACTGTATACAGTAAACCCAAGATATAATTTCTGAGTAGTCAGAGCTAGTTTCTGAACTAACTAGTTGATCACTGCATGTGTAAATTTAGGATGTAGTTTAGTTTTCCCATGTGAAATGTATCAACGTTGAATTCAGTTAAGTTTCACCTGCCTTTTTGTCATTCATTCACTCACTCAGTATCATAAGATCTCTCTACGCTGATATTTTGTTTTTACTCCCCTGAATGATTCAATATTACCAGCAAACTTTGTCACCTTACTAGCCACTCTTTTCTGGATGATGTAGATCCATAATTCAAAGCCCAGATTCCAGAGGGCATCTCTGAGGAACTCTATTTATGACTTCTCTCCACTGTGAAATTTAAATGTTTATTCCAGCCTTTTGCTTCCTATCTTTTAACTGGTCCATGGGAAATATTCTTTTTTACACCATAGCAGTTTCATTTCCTAAGTAGACCCTGCTGAAGAACCTTCACTAAAGCCTTTGGAAATCCGTGTACATCATGGCTGCACATCCACTGGACTTTATGCTCTGTGATGCAGCCTCATTTTGTTATCCCTGGTCATGCATTTAGGGACCCAGTGAGAAAAAAAACCAAAACACTGAGCCTCACATAAGATGGTCTGTTGATTCCCACTTGGTTTCAAGTAATGTGTATTCCTAGATGCTGAAAGATTCTCATATTGCTAGTTTAAACATAACCTACATCTGCCATATCAGCCAGATTTCTTGCCTCACTGACTCTAAAATAATTAAAAGATTTATTGCCCTAAGTGCCCTTTCAAAAGACATTCACTATTATTTATCCATTGTCATCAGTTAATTAGTACACACTAATTCTGTTCCTTAGTATAGTTAGCTCCTACTACTTTGCACAGCTTGAAATGTCATACACAGTGATTTGTGATTCCTGGTCCTCTTCAGGATCCTGCAGTATAACCTGCCCTATAGCTGCCACTTCTCATTCTTCTGGTGCTAATTGTGTCTGAAATTAAATACCACAATTCATAGTGTGGCAATTTCACACTGGAATTGCTTTACAACTTTGTTTATTCCTTGCACTTCATTTGCTCATTTCATCAATTTGTTCTCAAATCTCTCTTATTGACACTGTACTTGAGACAGTCCCTCCAAATTGTTTCTTTGCCAGTGTGAGAATCTCCCTAAGTCTTCCTGTGAGGAAAGGTGAAGTGAGGAATTAGTTTTCAGCCCTGGTCTGCTTTTCTTCATGCATCTTTTTTATGTCTTGATTATATCTACTGGCCCCATAGGCTTTTAGTTGTAAGGAAAGGTAACAAGATTTTTTTCTGAAAGTCTTTCTTGGCCTAATATATGAAGTTTTTATATTACAGGTTAGATTTTTTTCATTTTTTTCTTTTTTTTTCTTCTAGATTGTATTTGAACACAACTTTCTGTCTTTTGATCCTTTTCTTCCTTATTCGTTTTTTCACTTTTCAGCACTTCTCTTTCAACATCCCAGAATTTACTGATCTCTTAAACTCTTCTTATAAGCTGATGCACATCTTCTCTGAAACATTACTGTCTTAAGCAGTATTCTGGTCACTAAGAACCATTTCATCCTTTTGTCAGCTCCTTAGATTTTTTTTTCTTGTTTTTTTTTTTAATAGCTATTTTAATTATTTAACTATATATTTTATTTCACCTCTTTTAAATTGCAGTCACTACAATGGAAATCTTGTGCGTGCTTTTTGTTCAGACAGCAGTGCTGTCTCTGAGCACATTGTGATCTCTATTCACAAATGATGATTCTTCAGTAGTAGATTTTTACCTAGAAATTTTGCAGCATTTATGATTCAGCCAATTACTCCTCCTCTTGTGGAGTCTCTGACTAGCTCTACCAGGGACCGATTATTTATGGTGACCAGAAATGTTGTATCTATACCTCTCAACTGTATGACTTTTATGCAATAGACAGGCAAAACATTGGGCATGCCACCGTGAGTCTCATCAACAGATTTTCTACTCTTTTAAAAAATGACTATGAATGACTCATGATAACAAAGTGGAAAGCCTTATGCAGCACACCAACATGACACACAATATTGCCATTATCATTAACAATAACTTTTTTCTTGATATATATTTCATGATTGCATGATATATATATATGTCATGCAAATAAAGCAAAATTCACATGGGGCCAGTCACCTTGGTACCATTGTTCTAAGTCTTTTTGGTTCAGATATTTTAATGCTGTATCAGTCATCCATGGTTTTTGAGTGTGCAATGGAAGGATTTATAAAAATATATTTATATACAGAAATAGTAGAAAAGGAGTCATATATATTTAAAGCAAGTACAGAACAGCATTTATGTATTTTGTGTGCAGGTTTAAATGACAGTAGCAGAAAGAGCACTGCAGTTTCTTGCATGAGAAGGATTGTGGCTATGAGTTGCAGGGACTCGAGGCTGGACAGAAGATGAGTTCAAGCATTTCAAAGGAAGAAAAACATTAAACAAAAATAGATAACAATCCTCATGGTCTGGTCCAGTAGTTAAATCTGGAGTCTTTCAGTTAATATAGACATATTTCTATGGCTTATTTTGTTCTGGGGTATTTTAGAACGTGACTTGGCAGTATTTTTTCTCTATTTAATTCATTTTGAAGCACATGTATTACTGAGGTTCTGGTATTTCCTACATTTAAAACTATTGACCCCAAAGCTCCATGAAATGAATTAAACCATGGTTGAGAATATGACATCTCAGGAATTACAGTGTGATTGTTTTAAAGTAAAATAGTACTAAATTCAGCATCTTTTAAGATCCAATTCAGGTCAGAATGACATCAAATACAACATTATTGTCAGGTCCAGCATAAAATCAGTGGTCATGGTGCATCTATCCACCTAAAATGATTTCATGGTCTTTGAGCACTGACGAATGACTTCTGGAAGGCAGTGTTTGCCATGGTCTATACTAGGTCTATACTTTGTCAAACACCAAAATGCAGGCACTGCTGAAGTGAAATGTGTCAGTTATACTGAAGAGTGGTCCATACAGAGCCATCACACAGGGAAGTAGGAAATGAGAGATTCCTGGTATACCAGGAATGTGGAAAATGTGGGTGAAGGGAACTTAAATGTGCTAAAAGAGTTTCCTAAAGAAGGGGAAGGAAACAGAGAGGGAAGCAGAGAGCGGTGTCAGTGGCAAGGGCTTGCTTAGCCCCCTCCTTGCCACCAGCCTGGGCAGTGAGCAGCGCCTGGGCAAACCTGCTCCTTTTTCCCGTCCCCTTCCCCCAGAACAGCAGCAGAGGTGAGTGCCTCCTTCACACTACTTTACTGTAGGTCTGTCCCGTTTCTCCAGAAAATGAGAAGAAGATTCATTCCTGTACTGATTTTAGCTCGGTTTAGTTTAGCACAGGGTCAGTGGAAAGTATGATACGGTACAGTATCAGACATCTTGTTGAAAATTCAGCTGTTTCTTGAAATGCAAATATTTCAGGAGGAACAAAAATAAAGACAACTTGAATTCTAAATAGCTGACCTAGTCCTCTGTGCTCTGGTGCAAGACCTGCTGCTGCTTCAGCATGGAGGTGGAGAAAATAATTATCCTTCCTTCCTAGGCTTTTCAAAGCGATGTGAATAATTTACTACTTAGCCAGAGGAAGAGGAAGTCCTTTTAACCACAGTTATATGGCTTCACACCTTCAAATGTAATAAGGGAGAACCTCATTGTAGACTGATACACTGCCTGGAATGTTTTATTGCATTTTTGCAAGTGTAAGGCTTCTACAAGGGAAAATAAAAATAAACTGATACGTTCAATAACATATTTCCCTTGGTGAAGACTAATTTGTGGCAGAAAGGAAATAGAAGCAGAAAATTTTAAGGTGATTCACAGTTCAACTAGACAAAGCGTCTATGTTTTTATTGTAAGGGCAAAAAGCATCTTTTTGCAGACAGTGGAGACTGCAACGCTGCTCCATGACACAGGAGCCAGCTCCTCACTACCTGAAATCAGGTGCTCTCAACAGTTTAGAGGCTCCTCAGGTGACTCTGGCTGCTCAGTGCTGACAGAAGATGACCGCATTGCCTGGGGTGTGCTGCACTGCATACTTGCCCCACCTACCTCAGGGTCCCTTTCCCCAAAACTAATGAGTTTTTTGGAAGGGACAGGGAACGGTTCCTCCCCATGAGGCTATTCTTTGGTTATCCCATTTGAAGCAGAATTCTTCAAAGACTGCAAGAGACTATTTGTACAGAAGAGTTGGATGTAAAGGCTGTGTAGGCAAACAGAGGGACTTGGTGCTTGCTATTTGTCATGCGAGGTCTGATGGACTCAGAGCAGAAAGCAAAGAAAGAGAGCAGCTGGTTCTTTTATCCCAAACCTAGCTCTCCTGTTTTGTTATTTTTTTTTATCTGATCATGTCATATTTTTTTAATCATTTGCCTGGTTGTCACAGAGCCAGGCTGCTTCAAAACAGCACTGCATTGAAAACATATTAAAAAGCCAATTCCTTGTTAAACATTACGAGGCAACTTTCTTGTTTACAGGAAAACCGTTCAGGTATCCAGAATGACTTACTGCCTGTGTAGTGACACAAAGCACCACAAGAAGGGAGTACAGCCATTGCTAGCTGTCAAAGAAGGGTCTGGCCCTACATATTTTGGGGATCTCTGAATACCCTGGATAAGGGGAAGTGACAGTGACTTGGATAGGAGAAACATGGGACTTAGAGGATTTTAAGCCTCTGCTGAGAGGAACGGGGTTGCAACTGGGACCTTACTCACCGGTTTCAGCAAGATCTCATGGAGAACCGGTGCCATAATAACAGAGGGAAAAATCAGAGGTGAACATGCCCCTACGGGTGCCAATGAGAAGTTCGATCTTCAGACCTTGGGGCGAATATCATGCACGGCTCATTTTCATACAGCCAAAATACCTTCTGTCCCAGAAGAAGGGTGGCCATGTCCATACTGCCTATCAAGACACCCTGGCCCACCCTACCCTCCTATGTCTGACTGTGCGCCCATTGACCCGGGCCAAGGGAGCACCCAGGCACCGAATCAGTACAACTGATCATGGGTCGGTCCTGGAGCTTGTGTCTCGGCCCTGTGTAATTTGCCTATCGGGCTCTAGCCACGTGAGGGCAATTGGCAGCCCATTGCAACCATAACAACCTTTACCGTTTTGCAGTGCTGTCGTAGGAAGACCAACACTTTCCTTGGCAAAACTGTCTCAGCTTGTTTTCTCAGCAGTGTCAGTAGTGCTATATAGCTTGTCAGGGAGCTAATAAAGTATTTCAAATTCTGGTTCCTGGCTGATAGCCACCACCCTGTTAGCCGAGTCAGACGTAAACATATGATTCAGTCAGCACTTGAGTGTGTGATGTTGATCAGAAAATGCTTCCTTAAAAGCATTTCTACAGTGTGCTTTTGGGAGAGGTTTCCTACATAAGGAGACTCGCTTATTCTTGATTTCAGGTACCTCAATGGGCTTTTAATTGCATGGTTACATGGTGTGGAGTGCTAGAAAGCCACACACAGGTGCTTTGTCTGCGTAATGATGACTTCATAGTAACTGTAGCATTCTTTTTATTTTTATACTTTATGTTGAAAACAAGGAGTCTTTCACTTTCACAAACTCTTCTCAGAAATCTTGGACAGAAAATAATTATTTTATGGTGAATCCTACGAAGAAAAAGTCATGAACTATGTACTGTAAATTCATTAAATAAGCACCGTATCTTTCACTAAATTGATCTTCTTGATGAAAAAGTTTAAGTTTTACTCTTTTAGAAAATTTAATATCACCTCATGGCTTATTTTTTGCTATCAGTTGAATATGTTTCTTCTTATTTGATGAGGCAGATGAAAGGTCCCCAACCTGTGGAAAGGAGGGAGGGAATAAAACACAAAGCTTTGTGACAAAGACTGCCCATTTTCTATGGGGTAGCCATAACAGAGAAAAATATAATTGAGTTATCAAAAACTTTAAATTCAGGACTTCAGTACTTACCAAATTCCAGTGAGAATGTACAGTTTTTTCTTCCTTTTCTTTGCTTACTGAACAATTTGTGTATTTTAAAATTATCCCCTAGCCTCAGTTTAAAGTTTATGTGGCAATCCCTCATGTCAGACTCTACTGTAAGAATTCTGAATATCACAGACGTACTAAATTGACAAGTTAATAGTCAATTTTTTGGTTGGCTGGTAGCTAACCAAGAATTTTTTTATTGATTAAATAATCCAATTTTTGTGAAATGAGGGGCACCACACATCCGTGCCGACTCAATTCTCTAAAATTGTACTTCTCCAAGTGAACTTTTGAAGATACTGTCAAAATCCAACATGCAATCACTGGTGTTATTCCCCAGAAAGACTTTCCTCTAATATGTTGCTCCCTGGATCTAAGTTAACAGCGTCAAATGTTGCCCTTCCTTTTTTCACAGTTACTGTTTTGAGGAGCCCAGAACAGAATTTGCAGCATGAAAGCAGACATATGGCTGTGCATAAAGTGTGACTTGGTGAATTTATCAAAATGCAGCTGAACAGCGAGCAAAATCATCCAGCAAAACCCACAAACAATAGTTTGACAGCCCAGTGTCAGCAACAAACAGATGTCAGTGATGAGGTTCTGTGCATAAAAACAGCTCTTGCCATTTTTGTCTGCAATCTGTGTTAGAAGTAGGCCAGGCAGCATGACACCTGAATAATTTTGGTGGTGAAATATGTTACTAATAAATTTTTTAAAAAACCTAGTCAATACAGCCTCATTGGAATTGACTTGTCTAACAAATATTCTGTAAATTGAAAAGTATTTTATTTTATTTATCTTCCATCTCTTTTCTTCTGGGTGTGCTATGGGTCAAGACAAAACCTGGTGTCATTCGTCCCGTATTGGTGAAAGAAAAGAGTGCACAGCAAAAGGAGGAAGCCTATCAACCCAATCCTTTTAAAAAGTACCTTGAAGATATCAGTGATCCAGATACTGAGCAGGTGAGTAACTCTTTGAAGAATTTTGTAGCCTCAGCTACTTTCCTTAAAGATCTTAGACCCTTATTTTGTCCTGGTGTTTTTTTTTTTTTTTTTTTTTTTTGCAAAGTTAGACGATTCCCCAAGGGGCACCTTGCTCCTGGAGGAGAGTCTCCAGGCTGCAGATGGGTAGCTGGGCTTTCTACAGGGACTTCTTTTGTGGCAATCTAAAAATCTGTATGTTGAGGAGGGCATCTTTTAATGATGTCCATAAGAAACACTATACCAAAAGAAAGTGGAACTCCGGTGCCTACCTGTCAAGCAGGTGTCTGGGTCCGATCTACTAGAAAAAAATTCCTCCATTTCAGACCCCAATCGCCTCTAAAGAGAAATGAGGACAGCAAGGACTGGGCAAGGTTCACTCTTCCCTCTCAAAGTGAGACTGCGGAAGAGCCCCAGTAAGTTTCCATGTCACTCCCCAGTGCGTAGCTCCCCCAGGTCCGTATTCGCGTCCCTCCACAGCTTGAGGGAACTGCTCTTCTACCGTACATGAGGGGCATTAACAGGCAGCCCATGGGGCAGCAAAAGTGTTGTTTTCTCCCACAGATCTCTGCATAAAACCATAGGATCACTTTGCAAAAACACATCTTGAACTTTGCTGACCTGTTTGAGGCATTATCTCAGAGAAACCCCAGATAAATGATTCTGTCAGCCTTTTCTTGTGCCTTTGTGTTTGTGTGCATTATTGTGAACTAAACGTTAACTACAATTCATAATCTGAATGTCCCTGCAAGAGCTTATTATTAACCTATCCAGTATGTTCTGAATCTTCCACCTGGAGGGTAGTAAAATGAAGCCAGTAAGTCCTCTTTCCAGACACGATGGGAACGAAATACCTTACTAATTAAATTTCTCTTACTTCTATGCCACTAGTCACATTAGAGAAAGACTTTAGCAATGACAGTCCTCTTTTCTTCCTTTTATACGTAATTTTTTTTTAGATTTTTGTTTTAGTTCTTTCCATTCCTCCGTATAGCTCTGACTTGCTGTTGAACATTCCTGGCATTTCTCAAGAGTACTGCAGCATTACAAATAGAGAAAGATTTATTTGTAACATCAGTGGGTTCCAGCAACATGTAGGGCTGGCATCAGAAGGTTTCTCATTCTGTAGGTTTCTACAGAATGTAGTTTCTGTAAAATAGGAGAAAAAAATGAATACAAATTATTATTTATAATTCGTCTCTGACCTTTTGAGGTTGACAGTGACTATTTGACTTCAGAGACTACATGTGAATTCATAGTAAGTTTTTCATGCTTTCATTTACTGACAACCTTCTGATGACCAGGCACTGGGCTGCCATTTGGCTGGGATGAAAGAGGAGGAGAGCTGACTGGGAGGTGCTGCTAGAGAATTTCTGGTCAAGGCCGCCTCAGCAGGACCTCACTGCAAAGGCAGGGGCAGCTCGTACCTCCCTTTTATCGGGGCTGGGCACTGATTCTGATGGCTATAGTTTTCCTGATGAAGGAATGATGCAACCACCAAACTTTGTATTTTCAGGCAAATACAAACCTGGGTTTATTGCCATACTCAGACTTTCTGATATCTGAAGCTAATTGCGAAAACAGATCAACTTACACCTTCTAAATGACTTATGGTACATATCATTGAAGTACTGAGGACATAATAAGTCCATGAATAAAGTGGTTGTTATAATGAAAGCCAAATTTATTTTAAATAAAAGCTATGGATTAAAATTAACTAAACAAATAGTGCACTGACTTCGATAGATGGAAAAGTTAATTTCACAATGGGTATGCTCAGTTTTGCTTCCTTTAGTTAAAAGAACAATTAAATATGCTTTTAAGTACTGGTAAATTAGCGTTTTTATCCTAACCTAAGAAATACCTCAGGTTGCTGTAAAACACACTGTTATTTCTTTCTATTAAGAGATTTTTGTTCTGCAAAAGGAATTACTTAGGCCTGTATTCAGATGGATTCATTGACTTAACAGGAACTGGGTTGGTTTGTGTGAGAAATGGTTATATGATTCTAGTAGTGGTCTGACAAAATAATTAATGGTGCTGTAATAGCCAGATCTACAGAAAACACTAAAGCACATGCTTACATCACAACAGATGCTTACAATTCCAGCTCTTGCCTCTCAGAGCAAGTTTATGGTGCTGATATAAGTCCCTCATGTGTGGAGGAGACTTGGGTGCCCACATGAGGGTGTTCACAATCTTACAGCATCCCTGAAACTCTCCTGGGGGGGTTTAGTGCCTGTTAGAGGGCGGTGGCACTGTCTCTGAAACCGGGCGCCCAGGAGCTGGCAGTGGTGGTCTCTAATCATGGGGTTGTCCACCTATAAGGACACTCATCCTCCTTCTTCACCTGCTCTCAGGAGTTAGCATTTTTGGCTACACCGCATCAGGCTTCTAAAGAGTGGGACATGTTCCCACCAATATTACCCTGAAATTAGGTACATTCACTGCTTTCATGGGATATAAGAAATGTGGATTAAAAATAGGAGGCTAGCAGCTAGGCTTTCTGTTTTCTGTGGAAAGACGAAAGTGTTAGTCTACTTGTCCTCAGAGAAGATCTTAGCAGGCATCTACTTCGTCTGAGGGCAAAACTGCTCATACTGTTACTGATTTTCCCTGCTCTGGAGATTTTCCCAGTCCTGCTGGGAGGTTCAGCCCTTACATTTCTGTTCTCTCCCTCTCTCTGCATTTTCTTATCCTTTCTTTCTAATACCATTGCCAACAACATCCTCCCTAGGTGACGTTGCTGCCCATTCTTCACCCAAATCATCTTGAGAGGACAGACCCTTTCAGGCTGCATCTTTGAGGATGGTACAGACTAGATGAGATTCCAGATGGCATCAGCTTTATTAACTTCTCTCTTTTGGTTTTTCTTAGACCTCCACAGTACCTCCCCTCCCTGACAAACCTCCCAGTGTGACACTGAGCACTGGTGACTATGTGGGTGACATTCAGTTTGAGACACAATGATGCAGCTGGCCGCAACTGCTGGCCTTGAGCTCCATGTCCCTGTGTTGACCACACTTTTCTTGCACAACAGAGAGTAGCTTGTTTGCTTTTCACTTCATTAAGAAATGTCCCCATGTGGAAAAAGACATTTCCCTTGTAAAAAAATAGTAATTTTTGCTTTAACAGGCAGCTGTTCTCATGCAGATAATCCAAAGCAGTGGATGGAGACAAAAAGAGATTTCTAAATTAGTAAAGATTGTCTGGAAAGGATGTAGCTCAGCTCACAGATAGCTCTTTTTATCTGTGTCTGGGTACACCGTATATAGATTGCCACTGGTGTGCCAATAAAATTTATAAACCAGGAAAAAACCCATTTCATTTTGTCTTTTTCTCATATTAGCTTATGCTGCCGCCTTTTTTTTTTTTTTTCCTGAGGACATATGCAATTTGTAGCATTGGCTATTCAGCGGATACCCCTCCATCAAACACTTGTTACAGGCAGTGTAACATTTCTGAGGCTCCATTCTGACAGTATTAAGGTTCTCACATTTTTAGATGCCTTGACTGGAGACAATAATTTCCCCATCATGAGAAAGAATTTTTTTTCTCTTGACCAATACCTTTCAGTAATGCTCCAGGCATTTTGGGAGTATGCTCCAATTTGTTCAAAAAAGCACCATAAAATATACTGGAAGTATATGTAACTGGTGAGCAGCGCTGATGTGACGGCTTCATGAAAATTTTCATTTGAAACTGGGGAAACAGAATCTTTTTTGGAGAAAAAATAGGGCATTTTGTTACATCGTAACATAAAAACAACTCATAGTGAATGTTATAGAGTTCATGCACTTGCAAATTATTATTATTATTAATTACTATTGTTATTTAAATTGTTTAAATTTATTAACAAGAATATACATAGGCTCCTTTGTCATTAAAAAAGATGAACCACTTTGGGCAACGGAAGAGCAAGGTAAGAACGAACTAAAGAGTTATTAGTTACACTTGGCATGAAGCTGTGAGGCCAGTTTGCCAAGGTTTATCATTAATAGAGGTAGGGCTGGTGCCTCTGAGGAGGAGCAGCAGGAGGCGAGGGTGGTGGGAAGCGACTGGTGCCTGGTCCCCT